GAAACGGAAATACTAAACCAGCTTGTTTCAGAAACCTAGAGCGCGAACCCCCTTGGCCTCCTTTCGTGAAGTGATGCTAGCGAGTAGTTTTAGGGTTACTTCCTTAGGCAATGTGCTGATTCCCAGGTACTGAGGACTCTCCAAGAACGTTGCAACACGCAGCTTTTTTTAATCGTTCTGTAAACCTGTGCTCGTTGATTTTCCTTTCAATACTGGAGACCTTAGGGGCATCCACCGAGAGTTCAACACAAGCGTTTTAACGAAAGGTCTCATTCCTACAGCGCCGAGATCTTCTGCTGCCCGTTAGCGCATAAGTGGGTACATCTGATGCTTGGCTGTGCTGGAGCTGGCTGTGCAGGAATTCAAATTTTAGTGCTTCGATGTTGGGTTTAGTCTCGACAGCCTGGGGTGATAAGTGCATTCCAATGACATTTGATAGTTTCCCAAAATAGGGGGACCCCAATACAGACCCCGAAATACTATGATCCTCATTATGGGGACCCCCAAAAAGGGTACCCCCTAATTTTGGGAAATTCTCATTTGGCGGTATTTCCAAGAAGGCAACCTCGCAGGGGAAATACACAAATGACCCCTATAAAATCCCAGTTTCCATTTCATTTTCCATTTTCCTTTCCATTATCCCAATATAACCCCTATATTCTATCTACTTAAGGGGTCTATATTCCCCTAACTAGTTTCCATGTCAGTTTCCATTTTCTTTTCCATTTGATTCTCCATTATAGGGTCCTAAACCCCATATTGGGTACCATAAATCTGTTTCATCAAACAACTATGCCTTAGAAGCTCTTCGGGGGTTGCGCATCGACGCCGTGCGTAAGCATGATCTCTAAACTGTGTCTACGCTACTTGTGGGGTTGCAATGCAAGGCATCAAAATGCTTTCCGCCAACTCAGTGCCTATCTGGATTGCATGGACTTGCATGCGCCCTTTCATGCAGCCACAACTCCAAAAGAAAGCGCCTAACCTCAGTTGGGTCTTCCGACCCTAGGGGTTATCCAGTTATTCTTCGAAAAGCGTGAAAACCGTTTACAAGCCTTCATGGTCCACAAAGCGGTGGTGCATTCGGAAAGTACCTCCAGGACCAGACCTACAGGCAGCTATAGCCAGAGAAGGATCAAAGAACAAGCACAACTCAAAACAAGGTCGCGTACCCAACCGTAGCTTTGATATCGCCGCTAGGCGCACATGTGAGGGTCCTATGTTCCCTCCCTGCTGTAAGCGTGGAAGCCCAAGACTCTGGCTGCACCTGACTTGTACCCTCAGATGCACGAGGGCTTGCACCTAGCTTCCCCGTAAGGACCTGAGGTTGCTGTCGCTTAATAGAAGGGCTGCACCTGGTGAGGACAATGAGAAAGCCGACAATCTATCCAGGTCATGAGCTGTAGACGCATTGTAGACTCGCGGCACACTCCCTTGACACATGAAGAGGACAAGTAGTCTCTGAAGCCAGGAACAAAGGCGACGCGATCCCACCGCATGCAGTACCAGGCGGTGAGACACCCACAGACACTCGTCCCCGAGATGGCATCTACGGCCTTCCCTGAATGTCCAACCCAAGAACGGTGTACTTGCCAACATCTACAAAACAATTGCTAATGCCAACACCAAACATAGATATGCGATGAGTACTTGAACTGAACGTCGGGGTTTGGGCGTAAGGGGGTCGGGGTTTGCTGCTTCTCCTTATGATTTGAGAATTGGGAGGAGATGCGAGGTGTGCCCATGACTACCAGAGACGTGTAAGCTCACCAGGGTTGAGCGGCTGATTCACCCCCTCAACTTTCCGTGCATTCTGTATCTTGCTCCCTGCACCCTGAACACCCGTCTCACCAGCCTGAATTTCTCAGCCCTAACTCAAACTGGAATTCTGATCACGCAAAGTCCTGCAATGCCTTTGATTTTAGGTGAACTGCGGACTGCGCCCGCGGGCACATTTTTGGCGGGTTGTAGATGATGGCGAACCTTCCAGGGCCCTGGGTGTCCTTGCATTTCTTGTCCAGAAGTGGGTCCTACTTGACCACGAGTCTTCAGCATTCTCACTTGTACTCACACCATCACCACCACCACCACCACCACCGCCACCGCCACCGCCACCGCCAGCGCCAGCGCCAGCGCCAGCGCCAGCGCCAGCGCCAGCGCCAGCCGCACAACCACCAGCAGCAAGAGCACCAGAACCACCAGCAACAGCACCAGCACCAGGACCAGCACCAGGACAGCA